TCATGATGTCACGAATAAAATTTGCTATCTGGTGGGTGCGTGTTCGGCTACATAACGACAAAGGGAATTAATTATCAGCTCAACACTGGCTCAGGGCTCCAGGATAGCTCACCACTGGTTCATATAGCTCATCCCTTGTCAACAGATTCTCCAATTAGCTCATCCCGAGCTACAAATTAGCTCACCACTGGCTGAAATATCAATGAACCTAACCACTGGCTCATAGCTCCATAGAGCTCGTAACCCTAAATTAGCTCACCATTGGGCATTGGCTCATAGCTCCACAACAGTTCACATGATTGATTTCAAACCGAATCGGTCGGATTCATGATTTCCACTTCCTGGCTCAAAACTCCGTCTAACTGCACTAGTCATAGGACACAACGCTAGTTAACGCACACTGATAGACACTGTATGAAAATAGATCTTTATGTTCACCATCCAGTGTAGGTATTCACGTGAAAACTCACTAATCTGAACCCAACTTCGGTGTGTTCTACCGAATCCCGAAGCGGTAGATTAGCTGATCGCCTCAGCTGCGCCGGTGGCATTTTCCGACGCGCTCTGCGCGCCACCACTGTCTCCAGCGGCGGCGGGGGCGGGGGTGGTTTTGGCGGTGGCGGGAGACACGCCAGGCTCACCCCCGCCACCAAACGCCGGTCTCTTCACACCGCTCCCCTCCTCTCCACCTAGTGTTTCACTGATCGGCCTTTTCAGGGCTGAGCCCGGCGAACCCACCGTTTCTGGCTCCAACCCGATATCCGATGTCGAAGAAGGGTTCACCGTCGGTGTAGATGAAGTCTCCTCTTCAGCAGTAGTTGTAGAACACGTTCCCGGTGCTCCTGATGATGCTCCAGAGGTTGTAGTTCGTCCAGGAGGCGTCGGAGGACAGGAGTCGGTGTGTGTAGGAGTAACTGCCGTCTCTGAAGTATCCGTGGAGTTGTTCAAATGGTCGCCCTCAGCGGTCGGAGACTGGAGAAAGAGAAGGGGCGCGGTGTTAGTGCCCTGACGTGCTCCGAGATGATGTGTGGTGACACGCACTAGGATGATTAGTTACCATGATATGCCCTGATGTTTATAAATAGAAAATATTTATAGGAAACCTGTAATATATGACTTATGAGATGCGAAGAGATCTATTGCTAAGTTGCAACACAATGTGCCGAAAGAAAGCAATTTTGTAGCAGCTCAGAAATTTAAGGTCGAAATTCGATATTAATAAAAACAATTAACAACGATGATTCATGCAACTTTAATAAAACGCTTAAAGCCGGTCCCGTAGCTCAGTTGGTTAGAGCGTTGGACTCCGCGTGGTGAGAGCACGCGTTCCCGGTTATAACAGTCCGGGTTCGAATCGCGACGGGCGCTCGACATTTATGGGCCTCCTGACAGGTATGGTTGCGGTTGGTGGCAGGCCGTAGCCAGGCGAAGTCAGCGAGGGGACCGGCCGTGCGCGGCTTTGTGCGCAGGTAAACTTTGGACTCTAAATTCTGCCATAGAATCGGATTTGCGCGATTGGAGGGTAGAGGGCAGGGTCATCGCAACAAGCTTCGCTTAGCGGTGGCTCTGAACTTGTGAATCCTTCCCATCAAAAGGTTCGGACAAAATTTATAAAAAAAAGTATAAAAAACTCAAAATACAATATCAAGTGGCTGGAATCGGACCCACCCCCTCGCACTGACTCACCTCATCGCCACTGCCGCGCTCCGAGTCCAGCGAGTCTCTGTCACTGTCCGAGTCGTCAGGATCGACCAGCACCTCCGCTCCGGGGAAAATGTACCGGGACGGCGGCTGGTGCAGGTAGGTGCCCTCTGTTGAAGAGAAAAGGCGTCCTCATTGTCAATTATACAATGAGCCAAAGGCTATTACTTCCTTATTTTTTAATCATAATGGGGTTCAACACAATTTTCAAAGAAACCCTCCATATCATTCAACATAAAATGCGTCCATCAGGAAAACACGTAGCGAGGAAATCACGTACCACCATGTTACACGGCACACACATACAAATTAAAAGATGTGGATAGTGGGAGCCAATGACACCTGCCATCAATCCGGTGAATTTATTTCTGACGGGACGAACCAAGAGCACGGGGGAGCGAGCCGTTAACCACGGCCGGCTTCCACACGCCCGTGCCTCGACCGCCGGCCGCTGACCCCGCCCCGGGCCACGCGGCAGGGGCGGTGCCAGGCACACCCCACCGGGAGGCGCCATAGGCGGCGCCAGGCGCCCGACTACGGGCGGTTGAAGACGCCAGTAACAGCCATTAATCTGATAAATCACTCTCGCAAATCACACGTCAATTAAAATGGTTCACTCGAAACACAAACACCAGTAGCATTACGAACAAAACTGCTATCAACTATCCACATTGCTGGGAATTCACACAGTCTAGAGTCTCTCGATTTCAATCGCGATGGTAAAATCTTAGCACAGTGACACAGAAAAAAAAACTAATCAAATCCAGGACCATGGTGTGTCCAGTTTCAGTTGATTGAAAATAGACTGCTTTTTCTACCAACACTACCCAGCCGGCCACCTATCTATCTAGACCGGTGGCGAGCTACGCCCTACTCCAAAATTACTCCTAAAAATTCCGCTCCTCTCGAGATTCGAACCCGCACTCACCGGGTAGTCTGGCAGCGACGCTCTCCTTCAGTTTCCTCTGCCAGCAGTGCCGGAGGGCGTCAGTGTCGTTCTCGTTGGTCGGATCGGCCGGCGGTGAGGACGGCGCAGATGGCGCGGGGCGAGGGGTTAGTTCAGTGAGTTCCCGCAGCGGCGGAGAGGACTCTCCTCCGTCATCGGTAAGGATCCCGGAGCATTAGCCGCCGAGCCTGAGAGGGAAGGGGAATGAGCGTCAGTGTTTTTACGGCTATAGGTACTACTTGATAGAGTATCATTATGGGTGAGCACTGAGCTGCAGGTACAAGACCACTACCTGCAAGAACATAGGCAGCCACCCAGAGAAGCGTGAAATGACCCTTATTGGCTTGCAGACCCGGCACTCTCGGCCCGCCTGCCCGCCCACAGAAGGAACGTTCGGCTCTCTAAACAAGCATAATATTTGTTATTTTGACATCCCAAATCGCTATTTAAGTTATTCAGGATGCCTGTGAAGAAAATGCATTCCTCTGCTAGATTTAAAGCATGTCTTTTACTCTTTAAAGCAAAACTACAATTACATTTCTTTGTTTGCTGGGGGTTAGGAGCGGGCCGACTGCACGGTAAACTACAATTACACTTCAAAGTTCAAAGCCTTTTAGGTATTTAGTCAGTATTATAACTTAATGCCACTGCTATCATATTCGAATGACAATAATCATTACATTCAAAGTTTTCAAGTCAAGTGTCAGTGTCATCAGCCCGATATGACTCTCCAGCCTCCAGGATTCTAGTAGGTACATTGCCCCATCACCCACCTTGAGCAGTTCCCTGAAGTACAGACTGCAGGCAGACAGCATCATCCTGTGGGCCCGGACGCGCTGTCCCTCACAGCAGAGCGTGACGTCCAGCAGCTCCCCTCCACAGCAGAGCTGGTCAAACACGAACGTGACGCTGCCCTGGAACCCGTCCCACTTGAGGCAGAACTTCTGAAAGTCCATCCTGGAGGGCTGAAGATCAGGGGCAAGACAGCGATTGGTTAGTTCATGAGAGGCGATTTGTTCCATTCTGGTTTGTTCAGTTTGGTTCTGATTTAGTTCCTTGCGTGATCCTGGTATCCACTCTCAGCCAATTCAAGACCAGACTGGATGATCACTGGAACCAAATCAGACACTCCATCCTAGATTAGCTTCCACCAGAGTCCTCAGTTCAGGAGCTCGATGCAATATGGACCCTACAGGCCTGAGGCCAATGGCCATGGTGGCCAATGCCATCAAAATTCCTGTACTGGTAAGGTACCTGAAGTACGAAGTAAAGCAAAAAAAAGAGTTTTTTGATGTTATGTGGGTGTAAGGGCAAGGTTCAAAAGATTGTGCTGGGTGTGCTTATATTTTTATGTAAAAACTAAAAAGCAAAACAACTGAGCTAGCATAGGTATTAGGTACCAGAGGGGTGTTCACGGGCACCACAAACTGCTGAGTGCGGTGTGTGCGTTGTGGGCGGCAGGCGTGGGGGTAGGGGATGGGTAGGCGGTTCTGACGTCACTGCTGCATGCGGTGGACAGTCCGCTGTGGCCGGTCCCAACCGGCCATGAGCGGTGACGGAAGGCTGACATAGGGACGCAGTGGGCGGAGCTTGGAGGCTGTGTACGGTCCGACCGCACCATAGATATCTATGGACCGCACACAGGAACCCGTGAACAGCCCTCAGATATGACGCAACCGCGACATTTGCAGCGCAATTTGACGGATGCTCCATGGGTTACCTTTGAATTTTAGCTGGTAAAAATTAACATACGGCTCGGAAATACGAACTGAGGAATAAAAAGACTCTTGCCATTCACAACAATAATCGAGAAACACCCACTATACCCACATACAACAATCGTCACGCGCCGCAAACCACTCAAAACGCGCTGTTATCATCATCAACTTGGCATCAACCCTAGCGTGAAATTTGCGTGAAATGCCCATTGAATTTGTCAAACATAAATGACGTCATTAAAGACTATGCAAGATTTTTTTATGATTTGATGCCATTTGATGCATACTTCAAGTCAATAAGCAGCCAGTTAATATGAGAAAAACTACTTTAAAGTACACATGCTCTTTTAAAAATTGCAAAAGTTGTAATAGCATGTGCAATTTTGTCGTAAAAAATTTTGATAACATTATTCATGGCAAATTTACAATCTTTCTTGTGATATTCCTTGTAAATTTTTTCATCCTTATTTTAAATTTTACTACGTCATCTTGAGAAAATTACAGGATAATAAATAAAATATTTACTTAATGGAGTAGAAAAGAAATCTTGCCTCAATAAATATTTGATTTATTTCTATGAAACCTTGATGTATCTTCCGGTCCCAAGCAGAAGATGAATGTAAATAGCAACAGACAAACAAGAAGCAGGAAGTGGCAGGAACTTATAAATAATATAACTTATTATTTATAAGTTCGAATATAACTTATACGGCCTTGGGAATGGCAGGGATCTTGCAGGGATCCAAGAAGAGGCTTTTGAAACATAGGGTATAATTAAATTAGGTCGCTTGGATCTATATTGGAAAGCAACAGATTGATATTTAAGCTCCTACAAAATCGCGATTGTGTTGTTTTCGCCCTTGCTGGCTGCTGCGACCGTTGATTATATCGTAAGATCAAGATGGAAGTCGAAGATGGGAAGTTTAGACACATACGACAGTTTTTTGCCGAGGACGCCTGGGAAGCCCTAAGTGATCTCGAGAAGCAAGTTTATTGTAACATGAAGTCCAACTATGACAAGTTATCTGAACTCGGTGAGTCAGAGCTACCCATTTTTTACGTTTTTATATGATTAATTAATGAAGATTGAAGGCTGCGTATGCTGTATACGCGCAGCCTTAACCCGCGCCCTGCTGGGGGGAGGGGGGGTGTTTGAACACCCCCCCCCCTTGTGGTTTTTCGCGAATATTTCAAAAACGGCGGCGCGGAGCGCCGCCGTTTTTGGTACACCTTACCATACATCAATTCTACACATGTTGTGAAAATTTAAGACCAAGGTCATTCAAGGTCAGGTCACCAGGTCACTTGAAGTGACCTCACCTCATAAAAAGTTTCAATGTCTGCCATAGCTACACCGAGACCCGAGTGACCGATCGCTTTGAAACTTTCAGCGATTGCTAAGAGCAATAGCATGTACAAAATGTCTATCTCAGAATTTTGATATCGATGACCTAAGGTCAGGTCAATTTTGCGACCTCCCCATTATAAGTCAATGGGAGAAAATTGAAGTGCGCCTCTTTCGAACGAAAGACATTATAAACACTCCCAAACACCGAATTACAAGTGGTTTAGACACATTGAACATGAAAATGGTGTCCGTGACCCTTGTTTATGCCCTGAGGTCATCTTAGGTCACGAATGGTATCTAACAGTTTTTCGCAAATGACTTTTGATAGAGGCATGCTAGAGCGATGAAAACGCCTTAGATGTGTTCAGCTCGACGATACGGATCGACTAATATGCAACATGACCCTTTCCGGTCAGGTCATGACCTTGACCTGAGGTCAAATTTTCAAGTTGACCTTTCAAGGTCAAGTTATAGTTCTTTCGATGCGTCTTGACAAGAGGAACACAATGCCGGTAAAAGTAAGCTCGTACAAGGCTTGGGTCAAAAGTTATTGCAGAAAAACTATTTCCGAAAAAAATCGGCTATTTTTGCAGTTTTTGCCCCCTGCAGGCAAAACCGTTGACGTTAGGTCAAATCTGAGAGAATTACTCAGAAAGGGCTTTAATAGGGCTATCGAATGCGCTTTTCCGCGGCGCTGTAGCTCTATTAGTTCTCGAGTTATGCGTTGGCTTCTTGGAAATTTTCGACATTCGACCTGGAAATCGGCGAAATTTTGCCTTCAATGACCTCTGGTCACCTGACCTTTGACCTGACCAAAAAATTGACCGAAGTGATTTCGTCATTATTTTTGACGCTCTTTCGAACGCCGCCTTCCGCGTATCGCTACGTGGCCCAGGAGCCGAGTTACAAGGGGGGGTGTTCAAACACCCCCCCCCCCCCAGCAGGGCGTGGAAATCCAGGACCCCCAGCCGGGCGCGGGTTAACCCGCCTCGGGGTCGTGGATTTCTCTCAGTCAAAATATGTGGGAATTAATTAAATATTTCTGGAAACAGCTTGCCACCTCTCGTCCGCTACCCGGGTTGAGTAACTCGCCATGAAGTAGCGTCTTAAGTTGCTTGGATGTTGGCAAAGTTCGGAAGTCAAGATTGAGAATTGTGGATAGTTCTTCGAAAAGCGTTTGTCGAATATTGTTGTATGAAGTGCAATGAAAGATGTAGTGTTCCGCAGTTTCAAGTGGATGGCCGCATGGACAGGAGGGTGAATCTGAAAGGAGTAATTTATGAAGGTGTGCGTTGAGTTTAGATGCTCCGACGCGTAGTCTGGTGTGCAGGAGATTGCCGCGCTTGGAGCCGAAGGTAAAGTACTCAGGCGGTCGTGGAGGGCCAAAATGTTCGTGAATTAGTCGTTTGAAGGAAAAAAGATTTGGATGGTGAAGAGAGGGGGGAAGGTCGTTCCAGAGCCGGGTTGTGCTTGGTAAGAATGACTTCCTGAAGAGAGTAGTTCTAGTAAAGGATTGTGTGAGAGTGCTGGAATTTCGTAAATTTCTACCTGTCTGGTTTGCTCGTGTGTCAGGAATAATTGAAAGAACATATGATGGTATTTGAGGATCAGCTGTTTTTAGGTGATGGTAAAGTAGAAGCCTGTGAACTTTGCGCATGTTTTTCATGGAAGTCCAGCCCAATTCCTCCCTCAGTCTGTTCGTCGGTGTTCTTGTCATTGTTCCTGTAATAAGTCGGGCTGCGCGATTTTGAAGTCGTTCAAGTCTGTTAGTGTCGTTCCTAGTTATCAGTCCGTCATATACTATGTCGCAATAGTCGAAAAAGGGCCGTATGTAGGTTATGTATATTTGGAGGAGGATATTTCTTGGTACGTGTTTTGCGATAGGATAGAGAGGGCCTAGAGCTTTGGTTACTTTCTTTATTATCTCGTTTATGTGTGTTTTAAATTTGAGATCAGAAGACAGGGAGATGCCAAGATGTTTGTGGTTCTCGTGGACGGGGATAGTTTGACCGTCAAAAACTAGTTTGGGAATGTTTGGGGCGTTTTTGAGTGAGAATGTTTGTTGTATCGTTTTTGATGCATTAAAGGTGATCATCCAATCATGGCCGTACTGCTGAATGTTGTCGAGGTCGCGCTGTAACGAGGTTTGTGTCAAGGCGAAACTGTCATTGTTGTGTGAAGCGTAGAGCGAAGTGTCGTCTGCAAAAAAGAGTGTGTCATTTGAAGTCTTGGTCGAAAGTCCGTCTAGGTAAATAAGGGCTAGTAGAGGGCCGAGCACGGACCCTTGGGGGCATCCCGCATTTGTGGTTTGAAGTGAGGAAAACGAATTTTGTATTACTACACGGTGTGTTCTGTCCGTCAAATAAGATTGTAACCATGTCAAGAGAGTCCCTGTCAGTCCAAAGTCTGTTTTACACTTGTGTAGAAGTCCTTTGTGCCAAATTTTGTCGAAGTATTTGGAAATGTCTAAGTAGATTGCTGTGAAGTCGTCGCCTGCGTCAAGTGTTTGGTATAAGTTGTGCGTCAGATAAACGAGCTGGAGTTGAGTACTGTGGCCCGGTCTGTATAGTCTCTCTTGAAAGTATCGCGTCATGGGCTGCGGCGGCTCGGCGAACTATTCCATTCAGTTTGAGGACCCCAGCAGTGAGGTCATGGCCTGTATCATAAAATGTACGCTGTAACACGATCCTACGCCAGCGTTAGAAGGAAAACTACTGTATGACGCAGGCACCAGCGGCTGTCAGCTGGGTCGAAACAGGTGGAGGCCGGCCAGAGGTCATGCTCGTATCGCTTTCCCTTGACCCCGTCCACCGCCCCAGGCGAATACCTGCGCCGCTTGGGTTCTCCAGCCGGGCGCTCATTGGTCTGCCTTAGTGGGCGCCAATCACTGTTAACTCAGTGTGAGAAAGAGAGAGAAAGAGAGAACGCTCAAATACAGGACTAAGTGGCTAGAGAGCAGACATTTTTGTGATTGGAATCCGCTAGCGGGCGGGTGCTCCTGCAGCCACAGATGCATTTTATTATCGGGTGCAACTGATGTTTTTTTTCGTATTCTTGCACGGGTTTCCGGATTACACCAAAAACCTGCGGTAGTCGTACCGATGACGGGTCAGAACTCAGATTTCCAGCTTTGTAATGAAACAAATCTCAACAAATCCTCTGCGAGTAGGGTAGCTTCCGTTGACCACACGCTTACTGCCATCACAAGTTACCGGGCGGCAACCGCCCGCTCCGGCTCATCCCCTTTCCCTCCGTAACCACTCCCCTCGGCCCGCGGCTGCCGCCGCGTGCCAGGCTTGGTCACTGGTCAGTGCTACCAGTGGCTCTCATACTTTTCCGCTGAACCGCGGCTGGCACAGGTAGCGCCCTCCCCTCCGAGTCGCGATACTTTCAAGAGAGACTATACCCGCTTTGTTTGTCTGTGAAAAGGTGATGACCTGACCGGAAAGGGTCATGTTGCATATCAGTCGATCCGTATCGTCGAGCTGAACACATCTAAGGCATTTTCATCGCTCTAGCATGCCTCTATCAAAAGTTATTTGCGAAAAACTGTTAGATACCATTCGTGACCTAAGATGACCTCAGGGCATAAACAAGGGTCACGGACACCATTTTCATGTTCAGTGTGTCTAAACCACTTGTAATTCGGTGTTTGGGAGTGTTTATAATGTCTTTCGTCCAAAAGAGGCGCATTTCAATTTTCTCCCATTGATTTATAATGGGCAGGTCGGAAAATTGACCTGACCTTAGGTCATCGATATCAAAATTCTGAGATATACATTTTGTACATGCTATTGCTCTTAGCAATCGCTGAAAGTTTTAAAGCGATCGGTCACTCGGTGTAGCTATGACAGACATTGAAACAATTTTTATGAGGTGAGGTCACTTCAAGTGACCTGGTGACCTGACCTTGAATGACCTTGGTCTGAAATTTTCACAGCATGTGTAGAATTGATGCATGATAAGGTGTACCAAAAGTTTTTGAGATATTCGCGAAAAACCACAAGGGGGGTGTTCAAACACCCCCCCCCCCCCATCCAGCAGGGCGCGGGTTAATTTTACATCTAACCTAAAAATTTCATGACTCTGACCCAACTGACCTTTGACCTGTGGCATGTTTCTCGAGACCATGTTTGGCCGGAATCGCGATTCGGCGCATGCCAGCTCACATTATCCGCGGTTTCCAGTCTTTTTGTGGTTTTAAACGTTCAAATATGTGAAATGATGTTGGTGCCACGCATTATGGTGGGTGTCAAGGTCACGTGAAGGTCAAGTCAAGGTCATTGACCTTTGGATGACCTCGTTTCACTTTTTCGAGTTTTACATGTTTCTAGGCTAGTTTTTGGAGCTGAATTCGAATTTAGCAACCATATGAACATTTACGAAGTAGTTTTGGTGTCTTTGTAACATGTTACGAAGCTGTCAGAGGCGGTCGACACTTACTACGAATACCCGGCAGGACCCCTACTGGTTGACCTGACCTGACCTGACCCGACCTGGCCTAAATGCATGTGATCATCAAAACCAACATGATATTCGTGATCAGCGCCCCGAAAAACCCCACAGCAGCCACACTACGGCGTTCTAACAGGTCCCGATTTTCCCGACTTTTGGGTCATTGACCTGACCTGGAAGGTCAACCAATGACCTAGGACCTTAAAATTGGGTATCATCGGCTTCTCGTCATGGGCAACACGCTCGTTTTTACCGCGAAGCTCTAGCTCGATCAGGGGCGAAACGGCAAGGAGGGTCCAACGCCCCCCCCCCCCTTATACGTTCACGGCTGGAAAAAACACCAATACGGGCGAGGGTTAATCCACGGAAAAGGTGTGCTAGGATTACGGAAAAGCAAGCTGTAAACATGTTGCCCGTATTCAGCATGAATTAAACCAGTATAACGCCTTTTGGGGCGACTAACGGAGCGAGCGAGAGGGTGGGCCTTGCACGTGCGAAATTTCGACGGGGTACCTCCAGCTGACTTGTGCACGGCACCCTACTAACCGGTCTCTAGCGATGTGCCAAATTTGGGCACAATCGGCCCAGCCGTTCTCGAGATCTGGAAGCGGCACCCTGCACGTGCGCACGTGCAAAATGGGTCCCAACTGACTTTTGCACGGCACCCTACTAACCGGTCCCTAACCATGTGCCAAATTTGAGTGTCATCGGTCCAGCCGTTCTCGAGATCTGGAATCGACCCCTGCACGTGCGCACGTGCAGCAGCACCCCAACTACGGCACATGGATATCCATTACCTAGTGGGTGCCTACCTACATGCCAACTTTCAGCGCAATCGGCCAAGTAGTTACCGAGATATTGCAACAATTACAAAACTGACACCTCTTCGTTTTGCACGTGGCACGTGCATAAGGGGTCACCCACATGCATCGGGAATAGTCCAATACTTGGTAGAAGGAACGAAGCTACCCTACAAAAAATTACCGCGTGTAAATCGGTCAAGCGGTTGCTGAGATATAAGCGTCGCAGAATCGTGACCACGGCCGGCCGGCCGGCCGGCCGCTCATACTCAGAAATTTCCGTTAATCTAAGGAAAGACTACGCTCGCTCCGTAATTATGGTATGAATTAAACGTGCATTATTCGGTAGTTTGTATCTCTATATCTTTTTAGAGTTTTTAATGTCGCTTGGTTTTAACTTGACCATGTTTTAACTATACATAGTTCAATCGTCTGTGTTCCTGTGTACTGACGCAAAGACGTAAGAGCTACGGTGAGTGGAAGTCTTTAAGAAATAAATGATGAATGATGATGATGACGGGAGGATGGAGCTGCTTTAAAGTGTAATCCATACGGAACGGCTATTTGGAGAACCCAAGTTTATCCTCGCCCGTATATAGGGGGGGGGACGTCGAACGAACCCTCCCCCCTGGTTTGCGCGGATAACTCATGTAAAAAGCGGCCGATTGCCATGAAACTTTCAATACCCTCGCGTTAATCAATTTTGCACTTACTCTTTAAATGTCATGACCCGGCTGACCACCCCAATGACCTTTGACCTATGACCTATTTTTCGAGACCATGTTTGGCCGGAATCGCGATTCGGTGGATGTCGGTTCTCATAGCCGCGCGTTTGCAGTCTTTTCGTGGTTTCACGCGTTCAGACATTTGATATGATGCTGTGACATTTATTAGGGTGGGTGTCAAGGTCGCCTGAAGGTCAGGTCAGGTCACTGATCTTTGATTACCTCGGTTCTTTTTTCCAGTTTGACATGTTTCTAAGCTAGTTTTAGGAGCTGAATTTGAATTAAGCAACCATTTGAATTGAACATTAACGAAGTGACCCAACAGCAGGGAAAATCGGGACCTGTTAAAGCGTCGTTAAGTGTGGCTGCTAAGGGTTTTTCGGGGTGCTTATCACGAATGTCATGTTTGTTTTGATCACAGATGATGTCTTCATGCATTTAGGCCAGGTCGGGTCAGGTCAGTTCAACTAGGAGGGGTCCTGCTGAGTCTCGTAGTAGGTGTCAACCTCATCTGACAGCTTCGTAACATATTATGAAGACACCAAAGTACTTCATATGGTTCAAATGGTTGAATTCGAATTCAGCTCCCAAATCTAGCCTAAAAACATGTAAAACTCGAAAAAGTGGACCTTGGTCATCAAAGGTCAATGACCTGACCTGACCTTCAGGTGACCTTGACACCCACCCTAATGCATGGGAGCAGCATCATACATCATGTTTGAATGCTTGAAACCACGAAAAGACTGCAAACGCGCGGCTAATGCGACGTATGTCGGCCCGACATACGCCGAATCGCGATTCCGGCAACATGGTCTCGAAAAGTAGGTCACAGGTCATTTGGGTCTTTTTGTTGTTAATTGAGGCTTAAGGGAGCGCGGACTTCTAATGTCATTTTGCGCCCATAACGTCGTACTAATAAAACAAGTGTGTCAAATGAAAGAACCTTCTAGATACGAAGACTAAAAAGTAAAAGACTAGATATAAAAGAGCAACGTAAGAAAAAACAGCGCAAAAGTGTCGTCCAAGACAACTGACTAGATGTAAGGACTAAAGAGGGCTAGTTGGATTGAGGTCAGGTCGAGTAAATCACTTGGAAGTTGATCGAATGGATAAAGGAAAAAAATATTGCCGGATAAAACCCAGGGTGACTCGTCACCCAGCAGGCGGCGGATAGTGGTACCCGGAGCGATGCGCCCGATATAGCGTGTTCGGTTCGGTTCAGCGAGAGGACAAGATAAAAGCACGTGAGAGACAGTGAGAGGCACGGTACACCTGCGACAGGTGGGCTGCTCTTCTCCGCGGAGGAGATGACCATGCGTGGCATACGTATGGCCGATGCGCAGCCTACATAGGACGACTTCGTTATGTCTGTTCCTTTGCATGCATGACGACCAAGGCTCGAGAGTTGGCTTGATATCTCTCAGCTTACTGCTCGCGCGTGAGTCCCACTTTGCCTGCCACTGCGAGAGCATGGAAGATCGTACGACGGGATAGTAATCCCGGGCAGGCAGAGGAAATCGCCGAGTGTAGGGCGCTGCGGCAGCGCGTCTCGCGGTGGCGTCAGCAAGCTCATTGCCTTGGATTTCAGCATGACTGGGAATCCAGCAAAAACGGGTAGTTTTTCCGGACTGCTCCACCGAAGTTACCGGAGTTAAAATGTCCTGAACAATCGGGTCAATAGGATTAAACCGCCGTGAAGCCAATAGACTGCTAAGTGAGTCTGATAAAATCAAATAGAAAAAAACCGTCGGACACAGGTCATTTGGGTCAGGGTCATGAAATTTTCAGGGTAGGGGTGAAATTGTTTAACGCGAGGGTACTAGAAGTTGTGTCGTGATCGGCCGTTCTTTACGCGAGTTATTCGCGAAAACCGAGAGGGGGTCCGTTTGACCCCCCCCCCCCATCCGGCAAGGGTTAAATTGCTTTAAGTGAGGGTGGGTGCCGGCGGCCAATCGACCGCCTATGCGTCAGCGGCTGTGAAAACGTCTAGGCAAGCGAGAGTAAGATTATAATCGCCTATTTTATGCATATCTCAGGCATGATAGTTTGCTGTTGTGTCGGTCCGGGACTGGCTGTGTAACAGGATCAGGATTTGGTTCGATTTACCGGCTCTATTTGACCACCGTGGTGATGTGATTCGGCCTTTGGTTAGGCATGGTTACACCACCAAGATAAGCGTGCCTAGGAGTTGATGCCAATTAAGCCCCGATTAGCCAAACTGTTCATCGGCGTTGCCACTGGAACGGTACGGCAGTCGTAGCTATGAGGGAGGAAAACAGGCACTATGTCCGCCACGCAGTAAAAGTGTTAACGCGCCCTGTAACCCCCCACCCCCCCCCCCCCCCCCACGCCCATACACACGAAGACTGCTGTCATTTGGTTAGAGCACGGCTTCAGCCCTCCATTTAAGAATGGTTGACGACTCCGCCAGAAATCCAGGAGAAGCAGTTAAATGTTCCATTGTCGGCTGAGTGCTTGTGTCGGTCCCCACACAGGCATCGCGGGCCAGCCGCCATCGTTCATGCGCGCCCCACCGCCGCCGCCGCCGCCGCCCCGACCGGCCCGACCGAAGCGTCCTCGACCAGCGAAGTCAGCCGATGACGGCGACGATGACTGGAGTCCGTCGCGATGCGTCCGGCCGGCCCAGCGGCGGTCGCGTTCCACCGTGCGACGTGGCGCCGCCAAGAGCAGGTTCCAGCCGCCGGTGAAGAGGACGGCGACGGTGACATCGGCTGAGGTTGGTGGGGAACGGTGGCTATCTTTTCTGCAAACCACGGGACATGTAACATTTTATCCGGAGAGGTAGAATAACACTTAACATTTTTACATTTTACACAGCATTTTGAATTTCAGAGTTGTGTTTATTGTAGGACAAGGTAGTAATTACTTGGTAGTATTTAATTAGGTAGTAATTTACACCCATGCTTGCTAGTTATCAAGTCTTTTCTCGTTAAACAATATACCCGAGGCTGGAAGGTCATCGCTTGGCTTTCTTGGAGTACCTATCTTATCAGCACCTGTCACTATATTTCAGACGGCGCCCGCTGCTTCCTCGGCCGTGTCCGGTGACGTCCATTCGCAGGAGCGGCGGCCGGTCAACACAGAGGAGGCAGCAAAGGAGGCGGACCGGTCTCCGCACAGGCCACCGTCGCCGCCGTACGATTTCATCGGCTTTACGCTCGAGGATCAGTTCAAGTAAGTGACGACCATAGAGATCTTCTATACAGCGAGTGTTATTGTGAAAATTTCAAGATACCTATCTATATCTAGCGATACCTATAAAACTAGCGATATTTTGCCGTAATCACGACTGGCACTTTCGGTTTGCATTTTAGCGTATTTTTTGTGGTCGGATATCTACTGTTTGTTTGGCGGCCGATTTACTTTCCGCGCACCTTCTGCAAGGCATGATTCAAGAGCCTTTTTATCGTCAAATAAATGAACCTCCAAGACCATTTCATGTATGGTTTGACGCGACTTTCAGGGCCCGGCACGCTGTGGACACGAAAGCTGAACTGCTGTGGAACCACATCATCGCCGAGTTCAAGGACTTGGGAGAAGGTAAGGATTGTCATCACCATTGTCATTGGTATGAATAGCATGTCCTAGACACCACTTTACCGTCACGATCGGTTTTGGCGTTTATCGTGAGACCAAACGTTTTGCCCGTTACTTTACGCAAAACCAACTGGATGTTATTCCAGCTGGTGCTGTTGTGGCTACGTATGTTACATTGAGTGTGCGGGCATGACGTGATGTAATGTCAAATTTCACAGAGCCTCCCGAGCGGGAGGTGTTCAAACGCCGCCGGAACACGGTCAACTACCGGGAGGAGGAGGATCTGGACGACGACGACTACATCTGTGAGTAACCAGCTACCGTCTCATAAACAAACAACACTCAACCTGTCGAAGTCACCACATTCTGCTGTTTTCTGTAACATACGGTCACATGGGTCGCAATACGTGTTCCTTGTTTTCCGAGTCTTCAGTCTTTTTTTACAGACAGAGATAACCTCTATTTCGTGTTGTTCCAGTCTGTGACGAGTGTGACCGCGAGTGGGAGGGCGACTGTCCTGTGCACGGGCCGCTGAAAGTCGTACCCGACAACAAGGTATGGAACTCGGAAGGGGACCGCTAATTGCCCTCGCTCCGTTTGTACGTCTAATGGCATTGTTTGTGTAGCTTTGTACTCCCGATCACTTCATAAATCATGCGATATGTTTTTAAGTAAGCTACAGCTCGAGCTACCGTTCATTATTTTCTCTCATCTTGCCGTAAAAAGTGGTTCGAGTGGTAGTTACTCTTTTTGTCATGCTCCAATGGCCGCTAAACTATTTCAATTGAAAAGTGTTCCGTATCATTCTTTACGCAATCATTGAGCAATTCAGCGGTTAACTACTTATTGGCCGTTTTCACGACGGAATAGCAGGCATCTATTTAATCCCCATTTGATCCTTTAGTTCCTCAGGAATTTTAGTAGTTCTTTTTAGTAGGTTCCCCAGCTTTCGAATGAATGGTGCGTTAGTTTGCTATTTTTCTATTAAATATCACATCGATTTACTTTATCTAAGGATTTATCACTAATATCAACATAAAGCATAAGCACAATTATAAAATTATGAAATTATTAAATACTAGTACAATAGTTAAAAAAAGATACTGAGTTGCCAGGCTACAAAGAATATATTCATTTATGGCGCACGACAGACATTTAGAAAGCAGCGCCCTGTTTTACTGCACGCTGCTAGCCGCTTCCATTGGGTTTTGCAGGCCGACGTCATTGGTCGTTACACGTATGATGTCACGCGACTTGTGGCCTGTCACGGCTCTTTAATGATCTCCACTAAATGAATGCAACAATGGCCTTTTAAGTTGATCTCTGTGGCCATCTGTCTATGGAGCGACCAATATGAAAGTTGGGTGAATTTACCGGGGTTACATGACTATGAGCAAGCAAATGTGTATCAGGAATGGATTTAGGTGGAGAATTGCGCTGGACCATGAGTGCTCGAACGCTCCCAATTCCACGCCGGTTTGGCTTTGGAGCCGAGACAGACTATGCGGGTCAAGGTCACCGCTGGGGTAACGGTGGATTGGCTGCGCCCGAGCACCCGTAACGCGGCACAATTCTCCATCTATGGATTTTCCTATTCGCTCAGCATTGTGATAGGCGTTCGTAATAGCATTTACTCTGCTCATGTACCTATCCCCGGTTATTTAAAAGAAGTTTTTTTTTGTGGGGGAATATCACGGCTTTAGGTACTCGGTGGCCCTATTCACGACTTTCAAAGAATGCTCCGATAACTAAACACCGCACAGACCTACTGCATTAGTGAATCTGACAGAAGGTCTGTGGAATTACATCCCCCCTCACCACACCCCTAAAAACTCATCCAGTGTCCAAAACCACTTTTATCGACTCGCCAAAAAAACAAAAACAAAAAAAAAAACACACACACACACACACACACATACACACACAAAGCATGGGGCATGTCAGCTCTCAGTTCATTTATCATTGTCTTTACCATGGTTAAATTGCATTGCGCGATTTAAAGCACGTGAGTGCCTATATAGTATATATGTAGAAAATAATATCTACAGCAAAACATCCAAAATTACAAAGGCTACAATGCTTAAAAAGTAGGTTCATCAAGGAAGCCCATTTTTACTTGCGTTGTGTTCCCAACCATGCGATTCCAACGCGGGCTATTCGCAACGTCTGTTAAGGCACGTTAACAACTGACAAGCCGCCACCGCTGCCACTTATTCATAGATGGTTGATATCGCAGCTTGGGCGTCAGCAGCGCGGCCCACAACGCGTCGGCGCCAGCGCACGCAGCTGTTGGCACTCGGCAGCCGGTGTTGCGACTTAACGGCCGGCCGGCCCCATGAAGGAGAAGCTCTCGGTGAAGCTTTGTGATCGCCTCATAGCCGCCTTGGATGTCATCTTTCTTGGCAGATCCATCCGTTCAGATGGTACGGTGCAGTCTGGATAAAGGACGAAGTCCAACGCCGCTAACCCCGCGACCGCCACCACACAACGTGGCCGCAGACCGAACGGGCGTGAGGGCCGTAAGGGCCACCCCGCCATCCGGTAGGTGGCTGAGCAGCCGGGCGCAGCGGCGCCTGGGCGGCGGCCGCGCTGAGATGAAGTCCCAAACCGCCATGTCGCCATCACCGCCATCACCATTGCTGCAGCTGTTCCCAACCGCCTCAATCGCCGCCGTTTTGCCAGCAGTCGCGCCGCGGAATGGCAGAAGCTCCAGAGTAGCCTCCAGCGCCCCTCTCCGCACGTGTGCAGGTGCACTGCGGCCGCCGGGTCCGACGTCCAGGCAGAACATGATATTTCCATGCTGCTCCGACGGTGGGCTGGTCTTGTTTGGGCGTTCCTCCACTGTGACGTCGGTCACGCCTGCCCCGGCCAGGGCGCAGAGGCCGACGTGTCACCATCCGGTTGCAGTCCTCAGTCGGGTCGCAACGTGTACCTCTTCCGCAGCGTGGAGCGCGCTCCCGCTGGGCAGCGATACAGCCAAAAGTAGCATAGCATGCGGGCGGCCAGCGCTGCGCCGGACAGCGGACCCATGCCGGGGGTATGCCGGTCTCGGCCATTAGCGGGGTCGTCGGGGCCGAGGCTGTACATACAGCTGGTGACCGCGTGAGCCGCCAATCGAAGCTCACGGCTTATAAGCTCGACGCGGGCATCACACGCCGTCCCGATGGGAGCTCCACGACGCCGCCGCGAACTCCAGCGCGGCTCGCAGCGCGAAGACCAGTACGGACGGCCGGGGCAAACGGCGTGCGGGAGTCGCAGGCGACGTTCTGCGGACAGAAAGGGTTGGGCATAAGCTGGTCGGCAGGACACTCTTGAGCCGAGCCTTTGATGTAATTACAGGTGATCCAGAAGCATGCACAAAAATTCATGACACACTATTCTCATTTATGTATTTGCTACATATGATATGATATACCAGCTCATGATCAGTGACGCATTCTGGGCAATATGTTCTAAAGTGAAGTAACTGAAGTTACAGCTTAAAAGCTTAAAAAAACAGCTTAAAAACACACACACACACATTCGATAGCTTATGAGAATAACATGCCTTGTGTGCTTAATGCAGGAAAATATTTTTTTCACTTTTTTAGAAACAGCAAGAGTTGTCAACAAGCCATGTCAACTATCTAAACAATTTTTATGGAAACTGCTCTAGCTAGCTTAAAGTTCCACAACGTTTCCGGAGCACCGTACCCAAACTCAGTTCATGTTACAAGAAAAAACAGTAATAATGCCTCCTAATTTTGAATGAAATATAGGTATGAGTAATTTGATTTGGAAAGCAACAAATTTCCGCACATCATTTTAGCAAAATTACTATTTTCTTCAGCCATCAGGTTACACAAAACCATAATAAACTTTATGATCTAGTTTACACAAAACCAAAGGCCCGATTTTAACAAATGTAGATAAAATTTAAACAATTTTAAAAAATGTATCGTGGAGAAAATGAAAAGTGTAGATTTGTAAAGCCGGGATATTTCAATTTCACGGATTAGGCACTTAAAGAAATATCTTCACCTTTCTTTGAGCCACCAGCCTTCACCCAAGTTTTACACGAATGTAGTGAAGCAGACAATGTGGCAACTCAAAATTGTGATGGTTTGAGATAATTATGACGGTAAAAGAAAAAGCAACACAAGGTTCCTTACCCTCGTTTTTTCACATGGGTTCAGATGAGGCTTCAACTGTTGCCGACCTGAGGAGCTATAGGGACTTTAGCTTTCCAAAACTCAATTTCTAAGGGCACTGAGCAGTGTTTGGCTTTCACACGAATGCGATAGTAAGTTATATGAAGTTGACAAAGCAAGCAAAGCAAAGCATGATGCCCCGCGCGTCCGCCCGCGACCACGCCCCGCGTCCGACTCCCGACCGCCGCGTGACCCGAGGCGCCCGGCGGTCACGTGACCTACCGGCCGGGACTGCAAACGGCCTTCACCACCATTCTTGTATGACGTCATATCCTACTGAGGTGCTGATTGGTCGGAATTAGATACCTGAAGGTAATTATCTGCCGTAGTTATTTTTGTTTCATTGTTTTGCGTGTTTTCTTATATGAAATGTAATTAAAAAATTTGTCATATTTTAATCACCATTAAAACATAAGTGAATAGGTATAAAAGAGAACTCGATATATACTTTCCTTGTTTTTAAGAATTCCGGAATTAGATACCCGAGGGAGTAAAGTTGCCACGCTGATTTGATACCTCATAGTCGAAAGGTGGGCTACTAGAACCAAAAATTGCTGTGTTTGTAAATAAATAAGTGATTTGAGGGCTAAAAATGCCCGGATTTAAACTTCTAAAATTATTTTGAACATAAAATATTTCAGTTTGAGGGATGTTAAGGCCTCAAAGGGTAGGTACTTTTTAGGTATTAAATAAGTTCCTCTGCGAAAGTTCCGTCGTGAAAACGGCCATTGTGATCACCGCAACACGCTTGCACACTGCACAGGTCCCGTTCGACTCTGGCGATCCTGAGAGAGACATCAAGACCCGTCCCGAGTTCCTCAACCCGGGCCGGTCCAAAATCCCCGGAGCCAACACCGGTAAAATCCTCATTATTTATCCTACTCATTTGGATCCCCTGATTTATGCCTAACGATACTTTGTTTTGATACATATTGCCCTAATGGAGCGTCAATAAGTCGCTGTCATGCAGTTTCCTTAGTTTCTCAGTCAATTCCGTACCACCGTATTGAATTCCTGTTGCTGACATGTATTCTTTATGACGTTCCGACTGCTTCCATTCGGCCCTCACCAGACTGAGCCGCAGCTGTGTTTAGTCTATGACAGCTCACCACCGTTACTCCTGTGTATTCCCACGGCCCACACAGGCATTTGGACGGAGAAGGACCTGCCGGCGCGGCTGAGGTTCGGACCCTACGAGGGTATCGTCACCGCCGACCGACGCCAGGCCACCGACTCGGGCTACAGCTGGGAGGTGAGAGAGCGGCGGGTCTGTGGTGGGTTCAACAGCTGCTACCAGTAGCGGCAGAACACCTTCAATGAAGGGGGGGGAGCACTGCCGACTTTTGGTCCCATTCTTTCCATGCAACGCCCATAGGGCTAATGTTAAAATGCCAAAATCAAAGGGGGTACGGTGCCCCGGTGCCCTCCCCGTTCCGCCGCCTATGCTCAACTACCACAGTAGCTCGAAGTTAGAATTGCCCTTTAAATATGCGGCTCCATAATACATTTCGTTCAAACGAGGCTTTTAGATGGAGTTCTCTAGTTTGGTTGCATTCTTCTTCTCCAGTCACCGCAGCAGCTGATGTTTTCCGAACACCAAATGCATATAAGGCAAGACGAGCTTTTCGCATCTGAGACACTCGTCGTTCTGTAATTTATCACACGCATTGTGCGCCTACGTTGTGTGATTTATCACACGCATTGTGCGCCTACGTTGTGTGAAACGCGTATGTAACGTGAGTGTGCTTATCTAGTGATACTATACAAACTTCTGTTTCTCAGATCAAAAAGTGTCGCCGCGTGCACCACTACGTGAACGCCGGCGACTCGAGCTCCAGCAACTGGCTGCGGCTGGTCAACTGTGCCCGCTTCGAGCAGGAGCAGAACCTGATCGCATTCCAGTACAAGGGCCAGATGTACTACAGGTAACGGTGAACGTGTCTAGCGCAGACCTTGCCCTATAGAAACTTGTTCACTGCTTCTCACGGTAGCTGTCATTTATCTATACAGTTATAGGCCTCATATGGTCATTGTGTGCTGGTTTTTGGCAGGTCAGAAACAATTGTTAAGTATTGGAATATTACTCTGTTATAATAACAGCAGCTTAGCTGTACTGCTCTCTGATCTCCATGGTCGTCTTTGGTGATGTGCCAATTTTTATTGCGTTTTTTTATTGCGTTGTTACCCGTTTTGGCAGCAGTGATTTTATTCGATACGTGATTGTTCGCGTGAGTGCGCACAAGATTCATCACTCGTCATTTTCTGACTCATAATTGCACCTTTCGTCATGGCCACAGGACGTACAAGCCGATTGTGAAGGGCTCCGAGCTGCTGGTCTACTACGGAGACGCCTACGCCCGGGAGCTCAACATCAACGTGCAGACGTTCAGGAAGGCTCCGGCCGCCGCCCCGCCGCCAGCAGCCTTCGTGTCAGGTGGGCAACCGAATATAGCATCTCCGATAGAATAGATATATTACAAAATGCTCAGTAGTAATTGGCCAATCAGTAAAACACATGAAAAATATCATTTTTTCCGCGAGGCATGACTCATGGCTGACTGCCATCCCCAAAGGCAGACTGACTAGAGCGACATCTATATTACTGGCCGCCTCATCTAATAGATTTAGTAGACAAGCGCAACTATGAGCTTCAACAAAATGCACATGATGTCACATGTTGATAGCACGCACATCCATGTATGTTGGTATATGGTAATCAGCGTCATTCGCCAGGTGGCTCCACGGTCCGCTGCGTCCACTGCGACTACGCCTGTCTGGGACAGGAGCGGCTGGACAGGCATGTGAAGACACGGCACGGTCACATCGGCAGGAACGGACGGTACAAGTGTGAGTGGTGTGAGTACTCGACGAACGATGTGCGTAATTTGAGTCGCCATCGCCTCACCCACACGGGGGAGCGGCCACACCGCTGTGACGAGTGCGGCAGGACGTTTACTCAGCTCAGTCAACTGACCACTCACCGCCGTACACACACCAGCCAGAGACCGTACGTGTGTGACGTCTGTGGGAAGGCGTTCACAGAGAACGGTAACCTAACGAGACACAGACGGATCCACACCGGGGAGAAGGTGCGTCAGTGTGAGCAGTGTGGCGCCGAGTTTAACCAGCTGTCCGACTACACCAGACACATTCAGTCACACAACGGAGTGAAGCCGCACCGGTGCCAGGTGTGCTCGTCCCGGTTCGTCAAACAGGCGAACCTCACCACACACATGCGGACTCACACGGGGGAGCGGCCGTACGGGTGCTCCTTCTGCCCGGCACGGTTCGCGGATCAGTCGGTCATGAGGAGACACGTCACCGCCCGGCACACACACGACTACCGACACAGGTGTGAGCGGTGTGGTAAGGGATTTGTTAGACTCAATGAAATGAGGAAACACAGTGAGAGGTGCACGGTGACCAGCTGATGTGTGTGTAGCTGTGCTGGCGGGGTGGTTGTTACCACAGTGTATATAAATTCAGTGGCGGCAAATGCGCTTGGTCACGTGACCAAATCTGCACGTGCGGTTGTGGCGAGGGCACTTCCCGAAACTCTGGTGCCAACGGCCTCGCGGCGCCCATAGAGAATACATGGGGCCTTTTCTTTTCAGACCTATCGTGTCCAAACCAAGCCATTTAGTGCAAGGATACGACTGGTTTGAGATTCAGTCGTCTTTTGGCTATAAGTCGGCATAAGAAACGTATTTTTATCGGCAAAATTCGCTAAGTACCAGGTGGTTTTCCGATACGCTGCACGCCTCCTAACCCCCGGCGGCCGACCGGAGGAGTCAGTAGCGCTCCACTTACGACTTTTGGCGATAGCTCAAAACACCTTACAGCTAGAGGGCTGCTATCTGGCACACCTTATCTTTGCTTCCATACGCATCTTTGGAAACCAATTGCATTTCCGTCTCAGGTCAGATCACTGACTTATGACGTCACACGTGAACCTCTGCAATAGTCCCAAAATACCGAAACTTCGCAATGCCCTCGGTGCCAGAGGAGCTGTCACAGCGAGATGATACTTACAGGACCTAGTATCCTCTAGAAGTCACAAAACTTGTATATCTCGGATTTTTCCTAGAGGTCACATGAGGTCAGGCCGATCGCGTGACGTCACCATTACAAGTCAATGGGGAAAATATGGAAACTATAATTTTGACGCCGAGAATGATCTAAACCTAGCTCAAGCACATGGAATCTCGCAATTTCATGCACTTCTTGCAATGCCCAATGCTTCACTTTTGCATATTTAACCTAGCGTGACGTCATAGGTCACAAGTTTTTTCGTCAATAACTCCTGATAAAATTGAATTGGCAAGTCGGAAAAGTCACCGTTGGACTCGCGAAGACCTACCGAATCGAATGATATACGATATAACCTCCTCCGACCAACTTCGTGATCTGAGTGCCTCTGACCTGACTTTGACTCGATGTGAACACCTTATGTTGACCCCACCCAAACAAAAAAAAAAAAACACCCCCAAAAAGTGTACCATTTGACGCACCGGAGCATGACAAACATGATGGCACTAAAATCGCGACTCTGCGCCGTTTTTTGGCAGTTATTTCTCAAAACCCGAAATCGTATTTTGGCCCGGGGCACTTGACCTGACCTTCAGAGGCCACCAGTTGACCTGAGACTTTTAAACCGTGCATCAATCGCTGCGTCCCCTGTCCCGTAACGGCACACATGCTTGTTTTTCCCGCGAGGCTAGATCAATTAGGGCGAGGGAGTCGTACCCGCCCACTCTTGCGGCCGGGGCGTAGGTATGTAAAAAAAACTAATAAGTGGGGATGATTGATGCAAGATTCTTACAGATAATGGTTGATGAAAGTAGGGTATAAGTTATTAGAGATAAGTGAAACAAATTTGCAGCCCTCAGTAGCCTTGATTTATGCATTTAAGAGTCATAGAAATTAGAACAACTGTAAGCTGCAGGCTCAGCTCTACAGTTTCTACCTATACCAGCAAACACAATAAACTCAATGGAAGAGTAATAATAGTTGAATTGTATTTTATTGATGCTATTCGAGTTTCAATGGTAACTCTGTCACCGATGATTCAATATTATTTGCACGGTATCATTTGCTACCACACGTCTAAATATTTATTATCTAAAATAATGCAGTAAAATAAGCTGCGCCACATCTGTCGACAAAATCTGGTGCCAACTCAAGGTCAAACGGAAAATATGGTCACGTGACCAATGTCCGGCAGCTGGTTGTTACCACAGTGTATATGTTGTTACGAGCCTGTTGTGATTTTATATTGCATGATATTGCCGGTGGATCATCTTATTGTGACAATGTGACTGTTGGCTGTGATCGTTGATTAGGGGCGTTGGTGCATGCTGCTTGATCAATTTTGGACTTAGTCGCACGCACACGACTCAATGACATTGCGCTACGTTATTAAATAACCTTGTGATTATAATAACCTTGTGACTATAAATAACCTTGTGATTATAGTTTTATTCGCTGTATTACTGGGCCCTATCGATAAATGGCTCGCTCATACTGCAATGGTATGTCTCATGGAGCGTTGTGTTGATGTTTTACAGTTTCGTCCGTTCAATATATTTGGTGTTAGCACATCTCGGCCGTTTCAAACATGCCGTTCACATACCATTGGCTGTGGTAAAACAGTCTATCCTATACAGTCTCTTTATATACGGCTGGACAGCCGTGGTGCACAGTGCCGGTGCATTACCGTCCGGCCGTTCGTGGTGACCTGTCTCGGTGCACCATGCCGGCGCCACACCGCCCGCGGCACTATAGTCTGTGTGTGGTCATACCGCCAACACAGAGACGGGTTATATCACGGGAGATCCGGGTCCTGACGATGGGCTTTGGTTTACACTGACGAGGAAATGGGACAGTTCAGCAAGGCTCTGTGGTGGTCGTGATTATACCGAGCTCACAATATTGGATTGAACAGAAAAATCAACCATTAAGTTCAGACAATTGAACGTACCTCACCAAGAGTATTTACACCTTCACCCGCTAGATGGCAGTAGACGCGTCGCCTGAATGGTATGGTACTGTCGGGGAGCATTCCGGTCTAGGGGTAAGATACTTGCCTCTAGATTCGGCCATCCGGGTTCGATTCCCGGGCAATGCACGTGGCATTGCCGCTACCTGACCGCTTGGAACAGCGTGAGAGTTCCGGTTAGCACCTTGGTCCACTGGATGTGGTGCTTAAAGGGACTATCCCACCTTCGAAAAAATCCCGTTTAGGATTCGGAAATGTTACTTAGGGCACTGTGACGAATTCTGCAAGTTTTTACGCGTTTTCATTGTATACTTTTTGAAATATTGCGACTTTTATATTTCATCGTGACGTCATTTAGATCGGATCTGTGACGTAATGAAGGATTTACTTCATGCCAATGAAGGGGGAAACTTGGCAGCAAATATATTTGCTTTCAAATATGACGCGGCTCATACAATAACAAAAGTGTCTCTGATTGGGCATTTTGTAGTTGGTGGTATGATAGTCAATGTAAGTATGTTTGACTTCCTGCATATAAAATTCAAATACTAACATCACAATTCACATAGGAAAGGAACATATTTTCACCATAACTTTTAAAAATTTGTGTCAATTTGGAATACAATTAAAGTGAACAAGTGTGAAATTTGAATGAAAATAACCAACATTCCTGACCTAACCTTACCTACTTTCCTAAAAAGTTTGTAATACCCTTAATACCAACCTAAAACCCCCATGCCAGATGTCTACAACATACAAACCTTTCAATCAGCCTACTACAGTACCTAACACCTCACAACCTATTCCATTCCGAACCTATTGATTGGGATTTTTGTATACTTTTATACTCATTGCATCCTAGCTTGCTATTATAGCAAACATGCAGGTATTTAAAGAAATGTTTTGTTTTTCCTTTTTAGCTGTTGAAATTTCTTGAATGCAAACACAACACAACACACCATGCGCACATGACAGAGGTCTCCGTCACTGCGGAGGGAAGATCGCAATGCTGCTTGCAGGCTGTTGACAGAAAGTGATCAGTAAGTTATGACCCTATGCATAATGCTACAATTATTTCTTTTGTATACAGGGAGTTGGTCAGAGATTGAACATGTCTCAGCATCATATATTTGAATGCTGATAATTATGTATACGAGCATTGACCAATCAATTGAAACTAGAAAAGTAGATAAGTGCTTAACAAAATGGATTGGTGAAGATTAGATTGCCTATATAGAGCATGCAATGTTGACTTCATAACATACTGCATAAAAATGTAGTCTGTTCCATATTATGTTTGCGCCTATGGTCAAAGCTGCTTCTTCAATTTGCTTCTTCGTTCAATCTAGGGATGTAGCCAAGGGAGTGGCCACGGCTGTCATGGTCTACCCCAAAGGCGAGAAATTAAATAAAATAAAATAAAGATAAATAAAAACAGCTGTACCATACCCCCAAAAATAGTGGGCCAAATCCGAGTTTTCCTTTTTGGAGGGGGTACGACACTAGGCCGCGACCTGTGGCCCCTCCCTCAGTAAAATCTTGGCTATGGCTCAATAATTTGAGTCTATGCTTTATGTCTATGACTATTCTATACAGGAGCTATGCAATCCTGTTTTCTTTCTAGGTTCATGCTGTTCTGAGGTGAAACATTTTCCTGGCATGGTGGCACTTTGTCAGTGTGGGGTGAGGTAGGCATCCACTGTGATGTGACTGACCCTGTCGGCTCCCACTCCCCCTCTGACCCGGCCATGCGTCCCGCCAGGTTGTCGTGTTCCGCCAGCTGCTGCGCCGGCGTTGGCAGCGCACAGCCGCTACCAGCTGACACGCCGACCGGTGCGCGGCGCGCGTGTGCCGGGCGCCGACGGCCGTCGTCTGGCAGCAACAGCGCTGCCAGTGACTCGCGCTGCTGCTGCAGAAACTGGATAAGGATCGTAGAATCCTGGCGTGTTTTTGTAACGTCCATTAGAGTGATTTAGACGCAGCGTGTAGAAAGGACTCGTTTATTGACGTGTGACTTTCTGACAGCTCAGTCACCTGTTGACGGCGGCGCACAGCGTCACCTACCCGCCCTACAGCCGGCCCAGCAGGGTGAGTAGTGAGTACCAATACCCGCCCTGCAGCCGGCCCCAGCAGGGTGAGTAGTGTGTACTGAGTAGCGCTCAGAGTTAGCTTGAAGTTGTTTAACATGATGCACTGTTCTTCATGAGTCGTCCCCATCGCTACTTGTGACTTGCAAGTTCCTTCTTTTTCGGCAGTGCGTCCCAATTATATCAGCGATTTTCACCTCTGAGAAGTGTAGTTGCCGTACTAGTGAAAAAGCGTATATCTTTGAAATAAACATTCCGTTTCATCTGCCCACTATCACTAACGCCCCTCTGCCCTCTCCTGCAGCGGCCGGGGAGACCCACCTGACCGCTCCTTCCCCCTGTTTTGCTGCAGGCGGGGAGGCCCGCCCTGACCTTCTCCTCTACCCTCTGCCCTCTCCCGCAGCGGACGGAGAGGCCCGCCCGGGCCCAGTGCCGCACGGAGAGGCGGCGGCGCTGGAGGCCAACACCCCGGCTCGCGGCCTGTAGCTGACGGTGCTGGAGCCGCGAGTCACCGTGGTGGCTGGCCATGGAGACTTGGAAAAGGTGGTTCTCCGCGCAGCGGAGGAAGGGGCGGCGGCTGACAGTGGTGGCCGCCAACGGGGAGCTGGGCGGCGTGGGTCCGTGGCCCGTGCATAGCGGGGATGTTCGAAAAGGCAGCATCAGCTGCATTGTTTGAAGAGCTGCTGCAGTTAGGCGTTGAGATATGATCGCAGACTTGCAAGGAGATGGGCTCCTGAGATGCGTGCTTTTTTGCTCCGATGATCCGGCTGATCGCTGTTGATCTATGAGGTCGCATCACCCGCGCGCGGTCACCAGGCCGGGGAGGTATATACGTCTACAGCAGCTGTGTTATTTGTCTGTCCCGGTTGTATCACCCAGTCTTCCCCCGTCCCCAGGCCGGTGAGGTGCGTCTCCCAGCATTGCTGGTGTATTGTTTATCTGTCCCGGTTCCCCCGTCCTCAGGCCGGTGAGGTGCGTCTCCAGCTGCGCTGTCAGACGATCCAGTGGAACGAGCAGCAGCCCATGTACCCGTCCCGGCTGTGCCGGTGTGTCTCCCAGCTTGAGCGGCGCCGGCCGACCGCTGCGCTGCTCTACAACTGCCACGTCCACACACGATGCACGGTCAGTCATTATACCGAGTAATGCTAATTATAACCGCGGGTGTTTTGTTAGAATGGCCCTGAGTGTGCCGTTGTTGTGTGATTAATGTTGAGTGCGTTTTCTAGTTGTGAAGTACACTGTGGTAGGCTCGACATAACTACTCATTAGAAGTGGCGGGAACACTGCTCCAATGCCCTATTGTCGATTGGAAATGAATAACTACGGCCGCGGCTCCTGACTGTATCCCTTTTCCCCGTGCGCCCTACAGGTGACGGCTGACCAGGCGGTGCTGGTCTCGGCCGCGACCGACGGCCAGCCCGCCCAGGAGCACCAGGTCGCCTCGCTCTCCTCAGCCTGGGTCTACTGAAAGGCGCTGCTGGCGCCGGCCCTGTGGGCCGGCTCCCAGCACCCGCTCACAGCAGGTGTGCCACTACTGCGAGCTGAGCGTGCGCCAGGGCGGCCGCCTGCTTCGGCTGCACCGGAGCCTGCTGGCGCCCGGCCGGGGGACCGCCGGCGCCGAGCCGGCCGGCTCGCAGTTGGACCTGCCACTAGAGACGGACCTGTGGGACCTGGACGTGCGGCTGTGTCAGACCGGCTGGTGCTGGGCCGGCGCCGCCCGGTGCGCTGTCAGCTGGACGGCCGGCCCGTGCTGGCCGCGCCCCAGGCGGCCGACGCGCCGGCTCCCGGCGGCGAGCGGGCGGTACGGGCGCTGCTGCAGCTGCCGACAGCTGCCGCCGCCGCGGACAGCTGCCCGCTGCTGGTGGTCGTCTCCGAGCCGGCACTGCTGCTCTGGCTGTCCCTGGCCACTCAGCTGGCCAGCAGCTGAGTGGCCCGGCGCCGCCGCCACTGCCCCAGCCGCCGCCGCCGCCGCCGCCGCCGCCAGCGGAGGACCGGGCGGCGGCGTCCTACCTGCAGTGTCACCCAACACCCCCGCTGCGGCGGCCGTCTCCCCCACTCCGCCGGCGCCGCCCGCCGCTCCGACTTTGGCCTGGCTGCCGGCCCTGGAGCGTCTGGAGGTGTGCCTTCAGATCAGCGCGGTCACCGTCACCGTTCCGGCCGGTCCAGAGAGCGGCGGCGGGGCGGCCGGGGACGCGGAGCGGACGGCGGACCCGCTCCCCGCCGCGGCCGGCCACCACCCGGCGCCGGTACCGGGCCGGGTCCGCAGCAGTAGCGACTCGGGCCACCGGTACTGCCTGCACGGACAGCTGGTCTCTGTGCTGCCGTCAGTCCGACTGGACAGCGCTGCGCTCAAATCGGCCGCCCTGCCGACAGTGCCGGAGGTGCCCGTCCGACTCACCAGACCTTCAGCGGCCGCAGGTCAGTCGCGGCCGCCGCACGGCCAGCTCATACCGGCCGCTGAGGAGGGCTTTTCCATAAAACTCTCAGTGCTAGTGATTTTGGCATTGGCATGGGGGCGGGTATTAGTACTCACTACTCACCCTGCTGGGGCCGGCTGAAGGGCGGGTAGGTCACGCTGTGCGCCGCCGTCAACAGGTGACTGAGCCGGTGTACCGATCCAGGACCTCAATTATGATTATAAGTAAAACGGGATGTAGGGATGAAGTCAGCTTGTGCTCAAGACTGACGTCATGAAAATCGACACGTGAATATAGCGGGCATGTTTGCTCCCTGCCCTGCTGCCGTGCGGGCGTTCGAATCTCTCCCATTTTGTCGGCCCGTGTGTCTGTCTATCCCGTCCCCCGCGTGTCTCTCCGCCGGGTGACGCCGCTCTGTCTGTTCCAGCGGGCTCCCAGCTGCGCTTGCCGAGCCAGACGCAGCAGGTGATGTCGCCGTCGGTCGTGGTGCGCGACTGTGCGCCCATCCCGCGTCCAACGCCTCCCCCCCCCCCCCCAACGCGCGCTGTAGCGCCTGCCGAGCGCCGGCTGCTGCCGGGCCCGCCGTCGTAGTTTTATGGCCTTGCGCCGTCACTCGCCAGCTGGTGGTGGCGACCCGTGATCGCTCGCGTACGTTCGCCGGCGCGCCCATTGCAGAGAAGGGGTTCGCGCATGCCCATTGTAGAGGGGCGCGCCCCTTGCGGAGGCGGTACGCGCTACGCTGTGGACACTACTGCTTGTACCTGGTTGGGTAGCTCCTTTGCACATTGTTTGTTCATGGATGTAAATACAAGTTACATGACTGATGAGTGTAATGCTTACATTTTTGAACTAAGAAATGCCACAGGGCAGGTTACCTCGGTGAGTTTCTGATATCAACATACTGAACATAAGAGCAGAATAATTATCCATAGAGCGTTAAGGATTTTAGTCACCGAATTCACCTGTCAGTAATTGCATATGGTGGCACCATGAGCATAAGTACCTTGCCTTGTCCGATCCTTTTCACAACTAGCAAGTAGAATCTGGGAAAAGGCAGGGAACTTACAAAGCATGCGCATATGTAGATAACTGATGATTGTCTCTGTTCAAGCACGATCTGAGTCTGCAGCCTGTTCTGTTCCACATGAGTTACCGGGACAGCATCACACATGAATTTCTGCATGCTTTAAACAGAAATGCCTTAATTTCCTTAAAATATATTCATTTTTCACACAAAGACAACAAAAATGTACATGTAGGTGGGTGCTGTGGCAAGAAATTACATACAAATGTATTTTGCCATGTAGGTACCCTTCTTTTACAGCACAAGCATCAATCATAATTAAAGGAAATAGTTCACTTTTTAACATGGGTTTTGAACTGGAATAGCAGTTCCGTAGCTTGGGCTGAGACGAGCATAAATCAGGAGCTTTTACAGCCCAACGATCACCCTAGGCAAAGATATTCTATTTCTCGTCCCGAAAAAGGTGTCTTGCGTTGAGGATGTGTGCCTTGCATATATTTCCATCCAGTATGAAAAGAGCATGGGTCCCGAAAATTCTTCAGAAACTAGAGAAATTATCTACGAGAACTCTAGAGAAATTCTCGTACTGATCAATTAGGACATTCAGGGGAACATTATCAGATCGAGCAGATCGCCCAAATGTCGGTGGCTGCGATAATTTATCTGTTTCTGAAGAATTTTCGGGACCCATGCTCTTTTCATACTGGATCGCGTGTGCCTTACAGAAACTGAAAAGTTCTTCCTATTTCAAAATATAGAAAAAAAATATTTTGTTATAAAAGGGTTTTATTTTCTTTGCTGATTATTTTGAACATAAAAAATAATAAATCGTTGCAAAAAAAAATAATTTCGTGAAAGTGAACTATTTCCTTTAAGAGCACCAAGACGTTCTTTGCGACTTGCGAGCCCAGCCGTGTCAGACCAGCTGATGCAGGGGCTCGGCACAAGGCCCAGTGGTTATGTCACAGCACAATGTTGTATAACCTGCTATTCAAGAACACTTAAATCTTGAAAAACCTGTAGCTCTCTTTTGTCACCTCACTTTTCGCACTCTTGACAAATCAGTCGGATCAAGACTGAAACTTGAAGAGGATAAGCTCTTTTGTGGGATGTACTTGCAGTTTCAATTCAATGACATAAATTACTCGAAATAACCATTGAAATTGTACTGTACCATGACGAATCTACCATTGAAAGAAAATTGTATCATATTCATGACCCTGCTATAAAAACTGAAACAAGCTCCAATTGCATATGATAAATTTGGCGATGTTTATAAATCTTGCTGCCTTAGACAAGCAAATCTTCAACTTGTTTCCATTTCCGGAAATGGAAACAAATTGAAAAAATAAAACAAACGGTAAATTTATCCAAACCCAAGTCCGAACCCAATTATTATCGCCGAGGCCGCCGCTGGGTGCCGCCGGGGCGCCGAGTCAGCCAACGCCAGCTTATTCGTAAATCAAGTGATACTCTACTCGAATGCGTAAGAGGCGTTCAAAGGGCAAATGACGTCATCAGAATGCCGTTAATGGTTAAGAGATTGGGCCTTGTACAAGGCCCATTTTCAAATGAAGGGAACGAATTTCTTCAACACCACGAGGCCGCGGGGGTTGCAACCTAGATAAATAGTGGTTTCTGAACCTCGCCGAAAACTTGGCTATCTCAACTCAAACCTAATGTAAAGGTGGGATAGTCCCTTTAACCCAAACCAACCAACCGTATGCTACTGTACCGCAGCGCTCACCATGAGTATTTACACCTCCGCCCGCTAGATGGCAGTAGAAGCGTCGCCTGATAGGTATACTGTACCGCGGCGCTCACCAAGAGTATTTTCACTACCACCCGCTAGATGGCAGTAGACGCGTCGCCTGAATGGTATACTGTACCGCAGCGCTCACCAAGAGTATTTCCACCTCCGCCCGCTAGATGGCAGGAGACGTCGCCTGAATGGTATACTGTACCGCAGCGCTCACCAAGAGTATTTTCACCTCCGCCCGCTAGATGGCAGTAGACGCGTCGCCTGAATGGTATACTGTACCGCAGCGCTCACCAAGAGTATTTTCACCTCCGCCCGCTAGATGGCAGGAGACGTCGTCGCCTGAATAGTATGCTGTACCGCAGCGCTCACCAAGAGTATTTTCACCTCCGCCCGCTAGATGGCAGTAGACGCGTCGCCTGAATGGTATACTGTACCGCAGCGCTCACCAAGAGTATTTTCACCTCCGCCCGCTAGATGGCAGGAGACGTCGTCGCCTGAATAGTATGCTGTACCGCAGCGCTCACCAAGAGTATTTTCACCTCCGCCCGCTAGATGGCAGGAGACGTCGTCGCCTGAATGGTATACTGTACCGCAGCGCGTAAGGCCTTTGGAAACCGCTGCTGGTGAAGTTCGGAGCTATCTGTCAGCAAAGCCTATTATAGTAACAGCAATGACTACGACGTCACAACCGACAACTTCTACAACAGCGGAGT